GTACTTAGGACTGGCGAGATACAACATAGTCAATTTGCTGCACGAAGATGATGTTAGATTTAAGTACAAACAAAACTTGACAGTGATGTAAATTAGCCAGTGAATGTTTGTCATAATGAAAAATGGTGGATCATAAATCACATTGGAAACTATTTTAAAATATTTGGAACTAGAAAATGGTTTAACAATTTCTGTCTGTGTTATTATTATTATTTTGGTAGAAATATATCTGTGCTGGAAACTTGTATACCAAGGGCCAAATCTTCAATCTTTACTGAGCTAGCTCTCCTTTTTCAGTGCAATCAGAATGCTGCCTAACTCAGATTGGAAAGACTTTGATCCTAAGTTACAGCCCAATGTCCTTGGAAAAGGCTAAGATGTTTTACTTAAATTTGCCTTGGCTATAGCTTAAAATGTAACACAAGGACATAGGCTCATGAAAGAGAAAGCAAGAAAATAGTGTTTGTTTATAGAATTTAAACAAATAATTGTTTTTGTTTTTTTTTAATTTGTAAGTGAACTTGATTTTCATGAAAGAGGGTTAGCATTCTAAGGTTTAAAATGACAAAAAAACAAAAAAAACAAAACAGTGGATGCCTTTAAAATCTTGACGTTTACCACTCACAGTGATTAAATGTATTGTGGTATTTGCAATACTCCCTCTCTAAGTAATGGTACTATTACATATACTATGGTAATGCACAGATAAATACAGTAATGTTCTATGACAATTAAGAAAAGCAAATTATTTGATACTTAAATGTGAAAACTCCTAAAAAGCCCTGGGATATGAATGTGGAGGAAAAAGATCTAAGAGTCAATAGTTCAATAGTTAGATGTGTTATAAGTGAGTCTGGTAGTGCTGCCTGTTATTAACGGAGCTCAATGCTTCCCATTTCACTGGCTTATAACTGTCACTCGTTAACCATTTAGGCTGAAATTTCATGCCAGGTTTCTTCCCCTGGCTGATTTGCGGGGTGAGGGGAAATTTCAGCCCAAATGGTTTTCCCATTTCTGAAAATGAGGTTAGGAGAAAATACATGGTTTTGACCATGCTGAAAATTTTGGTGACCTTTTCTTTGAGAAGTTCTAATGCCCCATGCTTTGGAGCAAGAAACTGAAATTTGGCATATGGTGGCCTTTGTGTCAGGGATGATGTGCCTTTTGCTGTTCCTGTGACAATCTTCCCAAATTTGACCAAGTTATAAGCCTTAGAAAAAATTGCAGTTTGCATATGCTCAGTAGAGACTTGCAAGAGCTTTGCAGCTAAATTCCTCACAGATTCAGTCCACACTGGGCATACTTGAGCATTGGACTGAGCAGAACTTTCCCTTCAATTGAAGCTGTAGCCTTCTGCGGCTTGGCCAGGGCTGGGTCCAGGCACCTGAACTTAGGGGCTGCTCTAGCTATAGGCAAACTGGGCAGCTGCCTAGGGTGGCAGATTTAGTTTGGCCACCCCCCCTGTCATGCCAGAGGCATGGCTGGGCCAAATTTGAGTGGCTTGCAACCCCATGCTTCAGGGCAGAGTGCCACTCAGTGAAATTTGTCCCAGTTGCCCTTCTATCATGACAGAAAGGCAGCTGGCCCAACTCTGCAGCCCTATGCTCACAAGGAGGGCAGCAGCGCACTGAAATTTTGCCAGGGCTGCAGATTGTCTTGAGCAGCCTCTTACTGAACTGAGAGCAGGAAAATTGTTAAAGTAACGTTATTAAGGTTGCAAAGTCGAGCACTCAAAAGTTAGGAAATGCCAGAATTAAGGTTGCCTGCACAGCCTTAATCCAGCCCCTTGTTCAGGTGTATTATTATGTAGTCTTTAATTACATGATCACATACTGTTTTTTCTATAGGAACTCTGCCTCTTTCAGTGCACAGGTTGGACCTACTCTAGCTAGTGAAGAAGACTGTTGTTTGTGAGACCCCTGCCTCAATTGTTGCAGATGTTGGAAGGTGTGCAGTGAATGAGGCAGGGGACTGCAGGAGGAAAAAGGAGTGTGTCTTAGTTAATTCTGCCACAAAGTTCCTATGTGACATTAGGCAAGTCACGTAAACTGAACTTTTCACAGCTGGTCATTAAGTGTGTGTTCCTTGTTTTCTGGGTACTTGACTTCAGACCTTGAGGTCTGATTTGCAGAAGTGCTGAGCACTCTCAGCGGCAACTGAAATCAATGGGAGCTGTGCTTTGAACATATAAAAGTGCTTTATAATGCTAAATACTCTGAAAAATCAGATCCTGGGTGTCTTAAATTGGGCATCCAAAATTAGTAGATACTTCTGATCTTAATGTCTCTGAGCCTCAGTTCCACATCTGTAAAATGGGTATAATACTCCCTCATCTCAGAGAAGTGTTGTAAAAATTAATGAATTAATGTTTTGTAAAGCATTCAGATACAGTAATGATGATCACCAGAGAAAAGTTCAGGAGTAAACTAATAATTTCCTCAGAGCAGGTTTGACTAGTGCGCAGCAAATAAGGCCCAGGGCCACACACTGAACAGTGAGGAGAACACACAATATTAAAATAGTTGCTCATTAATTGAGCATCATCCACCCTGTGCATAGAATGAGGCTGTGATCATGTGGAAAAAATAGGATGTGAGCATGTGAGTAAAGAATGTCTTATAGTGCCTAGGCACAAAAGGGCTGAATTAAGATTGCACAGGCAATCTTAATTCTGGTATTTCCTAACCTTAATAATGTTTTGTAAAACATTTATGAGTAGGTAATATATATCTATATTTCAGTTCCACACAGGAAAAGGTGATTTTAGTTATAAAGATACATTTTGTGTAAGTAGGGGTAAATAACCCATGATTGAAATCAATGAACAAAGATTCATATAGCTGAATTCTGACAAGAATTGTTATTTTGGGGAGGGGGGGAGTTTAAAAAAAAAAAGGACTTGTGCATCTAAATATTTTAGGTGCTTTTGAAAATCTTCCCATACACCAAAAGTATTATAAATAAATTCAAAATCAGTCAATTTGGAATGCCAACAAGGTGGGTAGCTTATCTTCAGTATCCAATTTGTCTTTTACTTCACTGATCCACTGCAAGAAGAGAAGCTTTAATGTCACCAAAATAAAAAAAAGAAATATTTTTTCCCATCTTTATTCCAGTGTTTTGGATGGAAACATAACCAAGGCCTGGAAGCCCAAAGTAAGCAATTCTGCTAGTTAAAGCATGAATTTCTTTCTACAGGCCTGTGTGACATTTGATACATCAAGAAATACAATAACCTCTTTATCTAAAACGAAAATATCACCTCTTTTCTTTTTATCATAGCAAATAACATTTAATGGCTAGCCGATAGTAAAACTGACATCATTCATGCATGTGATGGATTTACTGAACGTATTAAAACATTTGCTTGAGAGGGTTGAAGTCATCCGTAGAATTTTGAAAATTATTCATAGAATTGTACTAGCTTTATGATCCTTGGGGAAATCCCCAAACAGACATCTTACTAATCTTATAAAACTCATATCTACTCACCAGCTTTCATACAGAGGTACATATTGTCTTTAATTAATCCTCCCATGAGTGACTTGTACCATCCTTCTCTAGTTTCCAGAGTTGTTAATATTTCTTAGATTTCATTTGCGTGTTTTTAGCTAACTCGTACTCTGTCTTTGAGTCAGACATTTTAACAGCTAAGGGGTCATTGGAGTGAATGGGTGTAACGTCACTGAAATCCATGAGGCTGAAGTTTGTGGAGCTACACTCATTTACACCAGCTGAGGATATGGTCCAAGGAGTCCAATTTACATTTCTAAAGAATCAGGCTTCTTAGCCAGGTATTGCAATAAAATGTAATTGTAGAAGTGGCTGTAGCATCGAAAAGTTAGTGGTAGATATGTTTTCAGCTATTTCAACAGCTTCACATACAGTGGCTAATACACGTGAACAAAATAGACACTGATGTGAGAGAAATTTTCCTTCTGCCTCATTTTGTGTCACAGGAGTAACTGCTAATGTATAGATCAGTGGTTCTCAAACTGTGGGTGGGGACCCCACACTGGATCGTGACCGCATTTTAGGGTTGCCAACTTTGGTTGGATGAATTCTTGAAGGTTTCATCACATGATATTATCTTTAATTAAAGATTAATCTTTAATTCCTGGAGACTCCAGGACAATCCTGGAGGGTTAGCAACCCTACTCCTTTTTAATGGGGTCTCTAGCCCTGGCATTGGACTTGCTGGGGCCTGGGGCTGAAGCCAAACTCCAAGGGCTTCAGTCCTGGGTGGTGGGGCTCAGGTTACAGGCCCCCTGCCTGGGGCTGAAGCCTTTGGGCTTTGGCTTTGGTCTCCTCCTCACCCAGGACAGTGAGGCTCAGGCAGGCTCAGGCTTCGGTCCCCCTCCTGGGTTGTGTAGTAATTTTTGTTGTCAGAAGGGGGTCATGATGCAATGAAGTTTGAGAACCCCTGGCTAGATGTAGCTCAGCATTGTTATTCTGCTTGTACTGAGGGGAGATATAGCAAAAAATACATTAATCTAAGGCAGGATCTCTCTTAGCACAGCTGCTGTCTCCTCATCCCACACTCCCCACCCCATGTCCCCTGATGTCACCTGATGGGGGTGGGGCTGATGGTGAGGTCCTCTCCGCACAGCAGCTACAATCACCCCACCCCCTGACCTCACCTCTGATGGGAAAGGGCAAATGTTGTGGGCCTTCTTAGTATGGTAGCTGCTTTATACCTTGGAGATAAAGACTTATAAACCTCACCCAGCCTGAAATGATGTATGGAAGGCAGGCCAGTGCAGGGAGCCCCCTCAATGCAGTGACAGTAACACCCCCACCACACATTCCCTGACATAACCTCCATGAATGGAGCAGAAGGTGGGGTCTTGTGGACCCATCAACTACCGCTCACTGGCGGAGGTTCTTTTAATCCCTTTACTCCTTAAGATCCTATCTGGGGTGTGTGTGAGAGGCAGAAGACGGGGCCCAGCTATTAGTATCTTTAATGTTAATACTATCTTTTTTCTTTTTCTTGGCAGGAGATAATCACAGCACCTACACAACGATAGGGATTCTTGTTTTGTTAGTTATAATAGCCCTCTTGCTCATACTTTACCAGTTTTTCCAAACTGATATTGTCCTACTGTGTCGGGGGATATTTAAACCCTACAAAACCCAGGATGGTGAGTAAGAATTATGTAAAAGATGGGGGGCGGGGGGAAGCGGAAGAGGTAAATTGTTCTGAAATGGCTTAATTACATAACTGTTTATTGCATCCATGCACTGATTCTCCACTCTGTTACCCTTTGTGAAGTCATTTATACCCAGGCAACGTAAGGGTAAAGTGGTAATATTCTGATCTCGCAGTGTTGCATGCTTACTTTGCACAAGTGTGAATGGCCACCTAATTGGCAAGGCAGTGGAGAACCAGGCCCTTTATAAAATATGAAGGCTGTTTTCTAAGTTTAGTATGGGTGTGTGTGTGTATTTTGATGTACAGATACTAACCTCGAGGTCAGTTTCATCTAGATAGGATCCCTAACCATCTGCAGGCCCTTTGTAAAGTCCTTTCTTCTCATGGGCTTTGTGTAAGTGCTATTAGTGTATTATGCAAAAAATCACTTCAACCCAAAGAAAATTCTTGTTTGATACTCTAGAGGGACAGTGCAAATTTGCAAATATGATATAAAAGGCTATCAATATTAATTGTTGTAAGAGTGCCCAGAGCATACAATGGGCACCTGTTAATAGAAGAACAGCTTTTATAAATCAAAGCAAAAATATATACATAAATAATAGACAGGTAACCGTTTTTTAAAAGGTTCTTTTGAGAAGGCACTTTTTATTTAACAGGTAATGTAAGTGAAGAACTTCAGGATATAGGCATTGCTGCTCTATGGCAAAACATAATGAAAATTAGTGTAAAACCAACCTGTTAATATGCACTGAGTTAATTCTGGCAAATCTTCATTTATTGCATGCTCCTTCTTTTCTACCGAACTTTATTTTACTTAAGGGAATTCACTTTTCTTTTGCATGGCACCTTCCTTTATATCCCAAAGCACCATACAGAGTTCATTAGTACATTTACAGTTAAATGCAGGTGGGAGACTTAAAAATGGAAAAAGAAAATGGAGGAAATGGAGTCCCTGTTTAGGAGGAAGTCAAAGGAGGAAAGACCAGTCCAGGAAAGGAAGTAGATGTCAGATTGAGGAGATGGCAACAAACCAAACATGGTTAAGATTAGAGGGGAGAAGGAGAGAAGGGAGAGATGTTTGAAGGAGATGAAGGGCATAATAGAAACAATGAGAATTTGAACTAGGCCTTGGCTGTGATTGCAACACCATATCTTAAGTGAACAGGACCTTCACACAGATACATGGAGGTATCATGGGAGTGAGGGGTAATTTCCACAAGCAGAAAGACTTCAAATGTACTGTCTGCTCCCAGCATGTCAAAGGACGTTACTGGCTTATGATGCCATCGAAGGAACAAATGCTGAAAATTATATTGGCTTCATGCTGACATGTGTTGGTTTGTTTAATTCTTACTATATGACCAGTCTGGATCATTGAACTTAGGGAGACAGTCCTTAGTGCTGTAAATTTCCACATGTGCTTCAGTGTTTGCAGGACCGGATCCCAAATCATGACAATGCATAATGGTAAAACGCCAACGATATTCTTTAGTTTACAAATACCCATATGTTGATTTACAAGCTTCTGCTTAACAGAAAGGTCTAATTAAATCTATTTCGAAAGATTAATTTTTCTTTTCTAACTCTTGAAATAATCACGTTTCATCCACACTAACAGCAATGTGCTTTCCCCTTGTTTCAACTTGCAGATGGGAAGATATACGATGCATATGTTATCTATCCCAAAAATCGCACTAATGAAGCTAATTTTGTGGAATATTTTGTTCACCAGATTTTGCCAGATGTTCTAGAAAATAAACACGGATATAAACTGTGTATTTTTGGGCGAGACATGTTGCCGGGGGAAGGTAAGGATCAAAAGCTATTTTGCGGTGAATGACTTGTGGTTTGGGGGCGGATTGTGATCCTAGCTATTAGCCCACACTGGGGCGTAAGGAGTCTCTTTATGCTCTTGTGCAGGTTACTCACTTTGTGGGCAGCAGTGTGTGAGAGTAGCCTCTGTGGAGCTGCTACTCTCCCTCTGAACAGGTGGGTGACAAGCACATGGGCAGAGCCAGAGGATGTAGCTTTTGCTGGCTGGTGTGCCAGGGACTGTAATCTGCAGATTAGAGGCACAAATTATTTACCACCTTTCTGAAGAAACGGGGAACCATGAACTAGATTTTGACTCTATTTTAATTGTGTCTACACTGGAGCTAAAGGTATAATTTCCAGTTTGGGCAGACATACTCACACTAGTTCTGATTGAGCTAGTGTGCTAAAAATAGCAGTGTAGCCATTGCTGCATAGGCGGCAGGATGAGCTGCCTAGAGTGTAAATCTGGGGTCTTGGATGGGATTATACTTGAGTTGGCTAACCTGTCCTGGTGCTTATGCCACAGCAGCTACACTTCTATTTTTAGCACTCTAGATCAATCACAGCTTGTGCAGGTGTGTCAGCCAAACCAGAAATTATACCACCAGTTCTAGTGTAGACGTACCCAAAGGCACAATCTGGTTCACAGTCTGCTTGTGGGACAGTGTATCTATGCACTGCCTCACAAGCAGACTCAGGACTTGTGGCAAAGTCACAGCTAAGCCCAATGTGAGCAGCTTTACAAGAAACTGAAAAGGGAAAAAGTACAGACTAACAGTTTAGGATTCAATCCTGCTGCTCTTTCTCATAATTGTATGCACACTGATGTTCCCTGAGGGATAACTTGCATGAGTAGGGTAGCAGGATCTGGCTATAAATCACTAATCATATACTCATTGGCCATGTAATAAAGGACTGATGTAATCACTAGTCTTCGGAAAACTGAGTTAAGACTCCAGTTGATTTCCGTCCCTTCATCATTGGCACTCTCTATCATTGAAATACAGCTGCATAGGAAAAGTCAAATGCCATGACAAGATTTAAAACAAGGACTGGATAATTGTTGGCTGATAATCTTAGACAGATATGGTTGATAAAATAAGGGCAATAAAATCTCACTCTATAAGGCGTTTTCTGTAGGGATGGAGTAGAAATTATTTATCCAAGTCAGTATACTGTTGCATAATTGGTCAAATGCATAGGGAGTGCCACAGGGTGTCTGGCCCCTTTTAAAAGGCTGTATGGAAAGATGAACTTCTAGAAGGGGCCAGAAAAAGAACAGTAGGAAGCTGTTTGAAAACCCTTCAGGAAAGAAGGTAGGCCCAGAGAGGGCAGAGATTCAAATAGGAAAAAGCAAAACAAAAAAAGAGCACACCTCTCCTGTTATTGGAGAACATTATTTTCAGTTGACTGTTGGGAAGGAAACTGAGGACTGCATCCCAGAAAAGGTAATTGAGTGGCTGAAGAACCAGGTGTGGAGAAGTAGGAGAGGACAAAGGTCTGCTTTAAAGATGATGGATTGAGTTATCTCTAATGTTAATAAATAAATCAGCAGTGGGGTTATTTAACAGAAAAATGGTTTCCGTGCAGTAATTGAAGAGAACTTGAAGAGAAGCATAGTCATGACTGGACCAGTAGGTCCATATTTGGCCAGCTGAGGGCACATGTGGATGACACCAGCCGATGATAGGAGGATATTGTCTTCCTGTGAAATGTCAAATATTGATCTCTGATAATAGCAGGATCCTGGACTTTGTGAATCGATGATCAAATCGAGTTTGACAAATCCTATGTCCCAAAATGAAATTTCAGCTCTCAGATCTACAGTAGTATGACACCTAGTTTAGCTGTGATTTTGTTAACAAAAAATACAGCTATTGCATGTGTGCCTTAGGATTTGCATATGTTTGTAGACTAGACAGCATGCTTCTTGCACTAATATGGATTTGTCTGTGTTCATTTTGTCAACCCAATTCTGATAATATTCACAAAAGGCCACACCATATCCTTGAACTCTGTACACAACGTCTACTGAAATTGCACACACAGAAAACTGCACACACAGATTAGGAGCAAAGTATGGCTCTATGTGTGTGTACAGGATCATTTACTATTTTTTTTCTTTCTTCATAAAACTGGATCATATTGTTCCATCTATTTTTAAACAGAATTTCCCATAGATAGTAGAGAGTTCTGCATAGAAATGACTGGTATGATAAGGATCACATATCCAATGCTGCAACATCCTTGTATCATTCCCAGAATCCCAGGAGTAAGTTGCAAAGGAGTGAGAGCCTATTGATCTGACTGTACCATATGTCTGCATTCCCAAAAAGAAATACATGAGAGGCTGGCTATATGCAGTTCAGAGCTGCATATAGCCAGCCAGTTCTCCATGGGAATCAGTTTGAGAACCTCTGATATAATTCTCAGTTCTCCATTGAATTTGACCTTAGGTTTTCAAAACTATGTAAAGCACCAAAATTAGAAATGCACTGTAAATAGTGGGCACCAATAGTAAAGAATCCTCAGTGTATGAAGGTTTCAGATAAGGAGAGCATTCGAAATAAAACCCTTGATTACTGTGTGCTTTTCAGCTTCTATTCATAATGAGAGACTAATTCAGGTTAATGTGAGACAAAGGTTATTTTCAATGAAAATATATCTTGAGCGGAGAGGTCTGGACACAGCGGAGTCCGTAAAAGAAATCTCACATCTTGTGATTTATTTATTTTTTGCACATTATTAGATGAAGCTAATGCATTTGAAATGAGAATACAGAAGAGCAGGAGACTGATCATCATTCTAACGCCTCAGCTAATTCAGTATGAGGAATTTGGTTGTGAACACCAGATTGCCTTATACAGTGCCCTCATTCAGAACAACATAAAGGTGATCCTCCTTGAAATGGAGACAATTGGGAACTATGAGGGCTTGCAAGAATCCCTCAGGCACATCATCAAGCAGCAAGGTACCATAAAATGGAAAGAGAAGCACCAAGAATGCTCACATGCATCCAACTCTAAATTCTGGAAACTTGTGAGGTACCATATGCCACTGAGACACAAGCCTTCGCAACTCAACCATGCTGTGTAAATAGGTAGTTTTCTTAAATACTGTTACTTTGTCTGTTTGAATTGTCTGCTCCTGTTTGCTTTCTGTAAATTTCAGGGGTATCTAGTGAGTAATATATAGATCCTTCTTACTCTACATAAAAGTTAAAAGAATGGTAACAAACTAAAATCCTCTTCCTTACTCCATCATTTTGTGAAGTAATCATGTTGTCTAACTGATGGTCCCTCTAGTTTTTGTTCCCTAAACTCTCCTCCTCATCTTCTCATCTCACTACATCATATCTACAACTGGTTCTGATTCTGGGTTCTACTATTTTTGTGGCACTCCATTGACTTGTATCTGATAGCAGGATTAGAAGCTTAGTTTGTAAACTCTTCAGCTCAGGGACTGGGACTCTTCTGGTTTTGGGAGGCTCCTACAACACAATGAGATGCCATTATAAATAAAATTATAACAACATGCTAATAATAATTAAGAAATGATTTAGATGCTGCTGCTTATGTATATTTGAATGCTTGGTATAAAAATTTGAAATGTGAATAAAAATACATTCTTTATATAGATAGTGAATTTATTATAGCTGTAGTGTCAAAAAAGAAATGAAAATATCACTCCAGTGTACTTTCATTGCACTGTAAACATTTTTTAAATTAAAATTTTAAAGCTAAATTTACAGAAAGATGATTTTAATGAAAATTGCTACATTTTCAAAATAATCAACAAAATTGATTGTGAAGCTTTAAATACTGTGGCTGTGCTTGATATTGGATTCTGAAGTAAAATGGGATATTTTGTGTGCTTGATTGTTTCAGGTATCTTTTTCTCTTAGGTTTATGAGAGTTTGTAAGAATAATTCCAGATTCTGGTCCAGCAAGATCTTGTAAAACGCAAAGAAGAATCTGTGGGTTTCCTTATTTGAAAAGAAAGCAATGACTTCTATCAGCTCTTGCAAGAAGATAGGAGCCTCTTACGTGTGTCTTTGCATGTGAACATGGGAAAGAGCTAGCTATGCAGAAAATAAGAGAGAAATTCTTACAAGTGATTGAAAAAGCATGTGGTTATAAGGTTCCTCACAGAAGAGTCTGAAAGTCCAGGGGTTTTCTTCTGCATTGATAAGAAGGGTTTTCTTGTGTGAATGGGTTTTCTTGAATGGTCAGAATGTTGGAAAGACAGCACACTTGTTTTTATATATAAATAGTAGTTTACTTGCTTTTTTAAGTAGAGCTCATTGAAAATTCACCATTGGTTTCCAGGTGTTTTTTTTTGTTTGTTTGCTTGTTTTTGACAAAAAGTCTAAATTTTCAGCTATTTTGGTGAAATTTTTTGGTGGAAATTTTTTCCATGACCAGCTGTCATAGAATATCATAGAATATAAGGGTTGGAAGGGACCCCAGAAGGTCATCTAGTCCAACCCCTGCTCGAAGCAGGACCAATTCCCAGTTAAATCATCCCAGCCAGGGCTTTGTCAAGCCTGACCTTAAAAACCTCTAAGGAAGGAGATTCTACCACCTCCCTAGGTAACGCATTCCAGTGTTTCACCACCCTCTTAGTGAAAAAGTTTTTCCTAATATCCAATCTAAACCTCCCCCACTGCAGCTTGAGACCATTACTCCTCGTTCTGTCATCTGATACCATTGAGAACAGTCTAGAGCCATCCTCTTTGGAACCCCCTTTCAGGTAGTTGAAAGCAGCTATCAAATCCCCCCTCAGTCTTCTCTTCTGCAGGCTAAACAATCCCAGCTCCCTCAGCCTCTCCTCATAACTCATGTGTTCCAGACCCCTAATCCATTTTTGTTGCCCTTCGCTGGACTCTCTCCAATTTATCCACATCCTTCTTGAAGTGTGGGGCCCAAAACTGGACACAGTACTCCAGATGAGGCCTCACCAATGTCGAATAGAGGGGAACGATCACGTCCCTCGATCTGCTCGCTATGCCCCTACTTATACAGTAGTAGCTATATTTGACAATATATTTGACATTAATTTGCCTCAGTGAAAATGAACAAATTCAGCCTGTCTGTAGATCAGATTTCTTCTGAGTTTGTGCCTGTTTGATTGGATCCCTGGCAAATTTACCTTTACCCTTTAATATCTATTTCCAAATAGAGAATCTGCTGTGCCTTGTAAAAAGATAAACTAACTCCTGCCCCAGATATCTGTCATGTATGTATCCCAAAGTATGTGTTTCATCAGAATATTCAGAAAGATGTGTTGGAAAAAAAAAGAAATATTCATCTCAGAACTGATCAGTTTTTCAGTTTGTAATGAAGAGGAGTCACAGCCCCACCTAGTGGGTGAGTGGAATTGTTAAATAGAGGTCAGTGTTAGATTGCTGTCAGCTTAACATACATTTAATAGAAGTAAATACAGCGGGTCAGTTTCTCAGCTTGTGTAAAATGGAATGGTGTATTGAAGTCAATGGAGGTACACTGACTGAGGATCTGTACTGAGGATCTGAGAGAGCAGACAGGGCTTTTGAGGTACTAGGTCCATTAGCTCAATAAAGAATAAAATACCCCTTGCAAAAGAAAAGTCGTTTGCCTCCAAGGCATGGAAGTTATATGATGTGATACAACTAGTTGTGCCTTCTCATCTTTGGATATGATACATCTCACAATGGTGTGCTCCAGCTGAAGCAGCAACAGAAGGTAGAGATGGAGAAATGAGGAGTGACATACTGGCCCTGTTGAAGTTAATGGTAAAATTCCCATTGATTTCAGTGGAGCCAGAGTTTCACCCGAGATACCTGCTAACATGAACCGAGTTGGTTTCGTAATCTGTGTACTACAATTAACGCTGTGTATCCTTTACATGTATTTAATGTGTATAAACCCTTGTACAAACATGTTAAACACCCGAGGCCTGATTTACCACTGCAGTACTCCAGCTTTATACAGTTGTAACTCCACTGAGCCAGATTCACTGGCATGGTTGCGATACTTTGCGTTGCTGAGTAGCACAAAGCAGCCACAGCATATCAATGGATCTGGCCATTGATTTCACTTGAATTATGTCAGTAAAACTGCAGTAATGCAATGGTAAATCAGGCACATTTTCTGATGTGTATTTTTCTATATGCCACATATTTGTCATGATCTAAAAACTATAAATTTGGTACCATAAAGTTACAGCTTACTTTAATTCACATCACTGTGGACTCTGTTGTGCAGTGATTGACTACCAAAGGAACTGTTTTCTATGCTGAAGGTAAGTGTAACGGGTGAATATCATTTGTGTGGTAATAGCATCTCTATTTCTCAGCCTTGGGAAAAGTTTCATTTTGAAGATAATGTAGTCAGAGACTTTTTATAGCAGAGTTAATATACAAAGGGAATTGTATGTCGCTGATCCATTCATATGTTGAAAAAGTTAAACTCTTGTGATAGGCTCATTCAAGCAAAATGTTACCAACTCATGTAATATTTGCTGGCTTTCTTAAAGCCTAGGCCTTGGGGAATAATTTTCTTTTGTGATAATCTCAGCTTTTATTTATTAATTTTGTAAAAAGTAAGTTTCTAGCCCGTCTAGTTGTGGAGAAAAGCTCAAAAAATGAACCTTAAAGGGTCAGAAAGCAGAAGGCAAATAAAAAGAACCCATAATTTATTATTTGTTTAAAATCTCATGGTTATTAAGCCACTGTCATGAGTTGAGGACCTGGTTTTAGAACACCTGGGGCTGGTAATATTGCAACAGACCTTCAACATGAGTTGATGCCTACTTGAGACTGAGAAATGACTGGATGCAGAGATGGGAGGATAGACTAACCGCATATTGCAGGCTAAAGGCAAAGAACTGTTTTTTCCTGTGGTCATGACTCTAGGATGTGTTGTTATTTAACACAGAAGTTGTTTTGCAACTAAGTTCTCACATCCCAGTTTTAAAAGTTAGCCCTTCTGCTTAGATAGAAAAGAATCTTGAATAGAAAAGAAAAAAATGGTGTGAAAACTAATTTAAAGCAAATAACGTCCATGAGATGTTTAATCAGGTGACCATGGCTGTCTTAATGTGGTACATTTTTCAGTCTCAGTTTGATTTTCATGATGATCAGATCATGTTGCAGTCCTGAAGAGTGGATTATTTGCTATAGTCAGGTTGCTTTTCTGTTATAAGGCAGTTGTGTTCTCTGTGGACTCAGAACATTGGACTTGATTCTTCTCTGACACTAGTGTAAATGAGAACTCACTATGAGATCAAAATCAGGACTATTAATGCAGCCAAGGGTCAGATCTGTGGTCAGTTGTGTGGGGTGTGACAGGCCATTATTGCTATGCATGATAAGTAGGAGAGTCAGACTGAGGCTCTGGATGATATCACAGACCCAGGCACACTACCAACCATCTTGTACCTATTGTCGTGTGTTTCTCCTGATGGGGCACCCATCCATGCATAGATTCAGCATCAAGCACATGCTCCTGCTTTGGCCCATTCTTCCCTCAGTGCAGTCCATCAGTGAACTAGCCTGTCACCACCACTCAACGTCTCCTGCAGACTAAGGACTTGTTTTTAGGTAGAGTTAGAGCATGGCAAGCTGGGTTGTAAATCTACAGCACTCCAGAAGGCTGCACAGTAACTGTCCCTGTGGACAGTTACTGTGCAGTAAAAATTCCCTAGTGCACTTTGAGCTACTCTGATTTGAAACAGCGGTATGCAAAACACACTAGAGAGCTTTTAGTGCTCAGCAGCAAGGTCCATGTGGCAGTTAGTGCATGGTACCTTGGAGCACTGTAGATTTACACCCCAGGATGCCATGTGCTAACTTGCTGTATGGACATGCCCTAAGCCAGTCCTTCCCTACCATGTGACACATCCTGGTAACCCACCAAGAACCTGTACCTATGCCTTTCCTTAGCCCCCATGTACCTCTGTTTCTCAGGCCATGCCAAAGCACCCAATCCCTTCTCTTTAACCAGTCCTTACCCACCATGCTAGCACCCTTGTGTGTCTATTCCTTGCCCCCGGAACACAATCACCTTTGTAAATCTAACCCCTGGGTCTGTAACCCTGACCCCCTCCCTTCCAGCAGCCTACTCAGGGTCAATTGAACCAATCTATCTCTGGAAGTCCTGCTCCTATATGGTAATGACCCAGTCGTACATGTGAGGTCAGAGCGGGGTTGGGTGACCCCGTCCCAGCCCATCTTTCCAAGCAGGCCCTGCACCGGCGCAGTGCTCCAAACATGCTGCGATTGCTGCCACCAGCCCAAAAATCTAAAAAAATGAGCAGTGGTTTGCAGAGAACATCCCCTAATGCACCCCCTTCTCCTCACATTATAGATAGAGGATGTGTCTTCCCTCTCTACACAAACATTAAGACTATGAGGAAACCACACAGACACAGTTGTGTTCCAAATAAATGTTTTTAATATATATACATTGTTGCTCCATACCATAAGCACTTAGTAGCTTCTGCAATAGAAGACAGGGAGGCCCACTACATGGCTTCCCAACTATTTAAAGGGGTACTTCCCAATTCCTATACATTACAGGTATTCCATGTGGCGCTACTATAGTATGCAAGATGAGCATGCCAGGAATATCCCATTGACCTACCTGGCAGT